AGAGCCACGAACTGAAAGAAAAACATGTTTATTGGCCACTTTCATGTAGGTGGCCTGAGAGGTCAGCCCAAGAAAACTGTGGTAATGTTCTTATATGAGGGGGGTCTTCAAAAATTTCATTTCCATTTTCATGGATAATTTGTATTATGAAAAAACTATGTACGGACTGCAAAAGTTTTTTGCACCAAAATAAACTTGCACTAACTTTTTATAATATTTCTAAACAGGATCTAGTTTGAAGCACTAAGAAAGATAAGACATCAGATTGAAAAGATTCCTTATTAGGAGCTGGCTGGTTAGCTCAGTTGGTTACAGTGTGGTGCTGATAACACCAGGGTATGATCCCTGTACTGGCCAGCAGCCAAAAAAAAAAAAAAAGCAAAGAATAAAAAAGAAAAGAAAAGAATAGTTACCCTATCAGAGCAACATGAATTTTGCTAAAATTGAGGAAAGAACATCAAATTATTTATGGTGAAGCTTGGAAGGAAGAGTGGTGAAATCATTGGTGCTCTACAAGAAGATTATGGGGAGAATTTCCTAAAGAAATTATCAATTTACAAATGGATAACTCATTTCAAGAAAGGACAAAATGGTATTGAAAATGAAGCCTACAGCAGCAGATCATCCATATCAATTTCTAAGAAAATAATTAATCTTGTTCATGTCTTATATGAAGGGGACCTATGATTAACAGCAGAAACAATAGCCAACTCTACAGGCATCTCAATTAGTTCAGCTTACACAATTGTGACTGAAAAATTAAAGTTGAGCAAACTTTCTGTTCGATTGGCGCCCAAACTGTTGCACCCGGATCGAATACAGACAAGAACAGAACTCCAGTGAAAATTTTAAAGTAGGATCAAGACACTGAAACATTTCTTTGAAAAATTGTAACAAAATATGAAACATGGATTTACCAGTAAAATCCTGAAAACAAAGCACAGTCAAAGCCATGGCTACCAAGAGTGGAAGTGGCTCAGTCAAAGCAAAGGGGATTGGTCAAGAGTAGAGGTCATGGCAGCAGTTTTAGGGGATGCTAAAGTCATTTTGCTTGTTGACTTTCTGGAGAGCCAAAGAACTATAACATCTGCTATTCTGAGAGTATTTCCTGAAAGTTTGCCACAGCTTT